AAAGAGTAATAGAAGCCGTTAAACAAGAACGCATCCAATGTAGTAAAACTAGTAATACAGAAGCACTAGTGAGACTGATGAAAACCCGGATAAGTAGCTCCAGAAATAGTACCCCTAGTTTAATCATGGACAACGGCATCCTCTACGATAACCCACTACAAATCAGCGAGCTGTTCGGTTACCAGTTTGCTAGCTGCTTTACACAAGAGGACGAAATAAAAGTCATTGGTGCACCGTCAACACCAACTCACTCCATAAGTACAGTGCTCTTCTCTAAACAAAACATTTCTCTAGCTATAGCATCACTTCGAACCTCATACAGTGCGGGGCCTGATGGAATTCCAACCATCTTGTTAAAAAGAGGTGGCGAAGATATACCGCTGATTCTCTTGAAGCTCTTTAATACGTCCCTCTCCAGTGGCAATTACCCTGAGAACTGGAAACTATCATACATATGTCCTAAGCATAAATGTGGACCAACATCTAATATAGAAAACTACCGACCTATAAACATCACGTCAGTAGTATCCAGGACTATGGAAAAGGTGATTGTGAAAGCAGTTGTCGACTATATGACGACTAACCAATTACTCTCACCAGCACAACATGGATTCTTGAAAGGCCGGTCATGCACTACAAGCTATCTTGACTATCTAGACAACGTTACAAGCAAGCGTGACCAAGGCCTATTTGTAACTACCCTTTTCTTAGACTTCAAGCAAGCATTCGATAAGGTGCCTCACAAACGCCTGGTCACTAAGTTGCAATCATATGGTTTCCGAGACCCGTTACTGTCCTGGCTCAGAACATCTTTAGAGGGTCGCTTCCAAGTAGTAAAATTCAGTAATTGCTACTCCACCCCTAGACTTATACAAAGTGGTGTCGTCCAGGGTAGTGTGCTAGGACCGATACTTTTCCTAATCTATGTAAACGATATCTGCAGTGTTATCCGAAATGGCATACCCTACCTTTTCGCTGACGACTTGAAGATAGTCTACAGCTTTTCTCCTGCAGCACTAACACAGGGTTTCTCTCAAATACAAGAAGATCTGAAGAGGATATTCATATGGAGCGAGACCTGGCAGCTCCCTCTAAACCCAAATAAAAGTGGCATCCTCCATTTCAATAAATCCCACCCAGAAGTAACGCTACACTTGGGTGATATTGCACTGCAGGTATACAACACTGTGAAAGACCTCGGAATCACTTACTCCAGAAGTTTGACTTTTACGGAGTATGCAGACTCAGTAGTTTCCAAGGGCAGAAGACTCATCGGTCTTCTACACAGAAACATACTCATACCTGAGGCAAAACTTATACTGTACAAGGCTATGGTTCGCCCAATATTAGAGTACTGCACCGTTATCTATGGTAGCATGAATGTGTCGGACAGAATTCGAGTAGAGAACATTCAACGGAACTTTACTCGGCGCCTACTAATACATAACGAAGGACTTCCTTACGAAGCAAGATGCAAAAAACTAGGACTAGAATCACTCTGGCTGAGACGCCTGAAGCTCAACTTAACACTTCTTTTTCGTCTTTTATTTACAAACCCTAAAACGAAATGTGCTGTCACTTTTAAAACAACACAGGCATATAATCTGCGTAATAGCGAGAACATCATCCCAATAAATAAGTATCGCTCAAAACTTCGATGTAGGTTTTTCATAACGCAATACAGTATGCTGTGGAACAAACTTCCCGCTCCTATACGAGCATGCCGTTCGCTCGGCCAGTTTCAACGACTACTTAGTAAATTCCTCCTATCTAACGAATCTCATCAATTCGTTGACGGCCAAACCACAAACGGTAATGCCATGCACTAAGGTACTACTGGTACCTAGACTCAAGGGAGACTAACAGCAATGACATAAGTATACAATGCCGAAAACTAAACGCAATAGTTAAGTTAAAATCTAATTTCTTAGAAAAAAAATGACCAAGAGTGAACAGGAAGCGGAGTGCGACACGATATGCTACAGTGAACTTATTAGATACTCAAATGTAACCTACTTTTCTTCACAACCTAACCGATCTCACGACTTAACACCTATTTCCTAAAAATCGCCCCTTAAAGTAATCTCTCTACTCCGAAAAGATAAAAGAACTGTCTGTCGGTGCATTTTCATAGCATGCAACTCTTTATTATTTGCCCTTTGTCATCAGTACTTACATCTAAGTACTCTGCACCAACATAGTTTCGGTAGACCCGATATGGTAATGCTCAACAGGCAACACCATGATCATCCCCTCGTGACCAGATAAAGGGTGGTGGTCCTAAGGAAAAAAAAAACCACGAATTTCACCTAAATGTTTATAACTTCATCATACGCTTGTACATAGGTATATAACAAGTTAATACCTGGTCAAATATCCTCTAATCTTTCTATTTCGTAGTGATATCTTCAGCTTCAGACTGACTTTCATTACTGTCGTGCGCACCTTCATCTTCTTCCACCTAAGCTTACCTCTAAACAGTTGGTTCTGGACACTTCCTCAAGTAAGTTTAATAGTCAGTACAAACTCACCCAGATGTATCATGGTCGATCTACTCCTGCGTATTTTTGTGCTCCTGTTACAAATTTCGCCTGCTGCTCGCTTTTGTTATTCACTTTTCAGATTTACTTAACCAGTCCTGCATTCAAATGGAATCCTACAAATCGCATTCGTCAGCGGGAAATATTGGCACCGAAACCTGATGACGAACGCGCACACCCCAAGGTCATGAATGTGATGCGGCCTCACCTTCAAGAATATTGGATGATTCAAACGATGACCGGATAATCTTCAAATTCGAACTGAGCCTGCTTCAACATGCCTCCTATATGCCATAAATCACAGCATCTAATGTATAGCATAACATTGTACATAATAGTCATCTCTCATTACCAAAGTGATCAAACCTGTAAACTGGTTTGTATTCATGTAACCTTTGTTGCATGAAATATATTATTATTATTATTATTATTATTATTATTATACTCTCTCCCGAATGTCGCGATTGCCTTGCCGTCGGCTACTTGGAGATTGGAGGATGGGTCATGATGACGCTGCTTTGATGGTGCGGGAAGAACGCTAACTTCTGCGCCGGTGTCGACGAGGTAGCGGACTTTCGTTTTAATGTCGGTGACGTAGAGCAAACGGCTGTTTCCGCCGGCTACGCTTGCCGTGAGCACGTGCCGGCGTGACCATTTCCCGAGTTTGGGCCCTTGTTAAAACTGCAAGGTTTCCGACATTTTCTGGCTTCGCCTCCGTAAGTATTATGGAACCAGCAGCATTTCGGGTTTTCCACCTTGCTAGGCTTGGTTTTGAGGCAACCACGCGAGTTGCTGCGATGTGCTAAAATGCATTCCTGTGAAATGCTACGTGAACCAGGACTTCGAGATCGTAACAACCGTTTCACAGAGTTGCACAACTTGGTCACCTCTGAATCCTGGCACTGTGGTTTGTCGCAGACAGAATATACGTTGGAGACGAGTCTGCTGGAAATCTCCAGTATTTTATCTGCCGAGGCTGCCAGGTCATCGAACGAGACTGACTGCAGTGTCACCAACACGGTTTGCACCGGTTGTGGTAGTTTTGAGAGAAATAGTTCTCGGAAGAAACCGTCGTCGAATGTTCGTGCACCGATTACTTCTCGCATGCGTGCGAGGACCTCAGTAGCTGAGTGGGTGCCTAGCTCGATGTTACGAAGTAATTCGTCTAGGCGCTGGCGATCTGTGAGATCGCTTTTCTTCAAGAGTGCGGCCTTTAGAAGTGCATAAGGGTCACTTACTTCAGGATTAAACATGTATGCTGCAACATACCTGTTTGATTCCCGCGGTGGTGACCTTATGACAGCGAGGAATCGAGATTGAGTATCGAAGACACCCTTTTCTCGAACGTCGGCCTCGGCATACAGCAACCCTATTTCTGCATTGTCGGGCCAATTTGGCACGAGTTGGATCGTGTTCGTAGTCGGCTTAATACGAATAAGCTTGGGAATGTGGTCGAACATGAGAAAGTGTAGTAAATGGATACATAAATGTTGTCGAAGGGAAGACAACAAACAAATATAAAATGGAACAGGCTCACCAATTCAATATTTGTTATTGGTCGGGATATGCGATCACGTCGGGCTCACCAATTTAGGATTTGTCCTGGTGCGAACTTGACAGACGCAAAGACCAATCATTAATTATTCGAACTTGTTATGTACCCACGAGTACGAGACCAAGGAAGAACACGATAGCTTAGTCGGATGGAATAGTATATTTGGATGGTTATGCCAAAATACCGATGCGTTCCAACTAACTGGCTAGAGAGTCGAAAACGAGCAATGCAACGTAACACGACAGTGTGCCAAATGGCGTGGATGCTTGGCCGGGTGCCTTCAGCTCAGCGAGTCCAGTTAAACTATCAAGGTCAGCATCAATGTTGGGTGCCGTCAAACCCCAGGCCATTGAGTTTGGGGAAGTGTGTGTCGCTACAACCTCATACTCGCGAGCATTGTACAAGTGCGAAGAGTTGTTGGTTTGCCTCCGCATCTGTCTTGTTGACCGGGGACACTTTCCAAAAATCATGTAGTTAGGCAATTGAGGTGAAGACTGGTAATGAAATTTCTTTCGGAAAACTGTGAAGGCTGTGAGGTCATTATCGGGAATGTTCACAGGAATGAAAACCATGACATACTTTTGCTTCCTACCTGACTGTCGGAGAAAACATAGAGAAGGTTGGCTGTAGCCGAAATGAATGCCAGCAACCCCTAGACGTGCTGATCAGCACGTTCTTATCTGAGACGCACCTCTGCAGGGATTTGAACTAAGCTATCATATGTCATGTGTTCAGTGGAGGTGAATGACAAACAGCCACCTATTAACGGCAGTCTAGTTCTATTACTAATGCGGTTAAAGTAGTGGAGAATAACACATGCGGAGCAATTGAACCATCGTAGTGACAATTTCTTAAAGGAGTAATACAAGTTAATAGCTCTCTTTCCATCTCATTGGACATTAGAGACTGGAAACTATTAGTGTATGAATTTAACGTTTCATCTTGCATACCTAGTACATAGTAATCAAAGTTTAAGAGATGATTGTTCCTCGACGCGAAATGCTTGTAAACAACTGCTGGTTTTATGTTGTCTTAAGCCTCTTAGGACCTCTAAATGCAGACATTTAATGCTGTACACTTTAGGCGCAGTTTCAGAGAGTTCGTTACAAAAGTTGAGTGTAACGCTTTTAGAACCATACTCTTTCAGTTCCCAGCTTAGATTTCCAATCTGCCGCGATATAAATTATTTCTATTTGTTGATCGTATTTTGTCAATAAATGTAAGTATGTGATCTGCATTTGCTGAGTTGTTGGCTCACGTATTGCTCTTTCCGTAGTTTTCTGTTTAGGGATGGTAGGCCGAGTTTTCTGTATTTATCCCAGAAATATAGATCTCTTTGAAGACAAAATTTATTTATTAAGACGTCCACTGGGTGAGTAGCAACCACAGGTTCCTTTAATAAATTCCAGCCGTTAACCACTTATTGAGATAACCTGATTTCTACTTGTAGTTTAATCAGCCGCGTCTGGGATGATTTTCTAGCTAGTCAGTCTTAAAGGAGTAAAGAAATTGGAAAAGCCAATGCCTAAGTCGTCTTCATGTACACAATATGCTGATATAAGACCTCCCCTTTGTCCTACGATTTAATAATTTGGAAAAGATGCAGACTTCTCAAGGTTCTTTACTGGGAATATATGAAGATCCGGTCATTAGCTTAGTATACGCCCTTTGTATCTGTTACAGAGTGTCTTTCTTGATTGGAGGAGAGAATATCTGTCTGAGTGCGATATATTATATGAGTTCATACATATTTTGGTTACAGTATCCTAAAATTCCCTTGTCAGAGCACTTGGAGACTCTATGGAGTGATCATTACATGAGGGATGCCTTGGGTTTAGCCGTATTACTTTTTGCCCTTGCTTTCGAGTTATGACTGACAACTATTAATAGGTATTTTGGTCTCGAATTCATGGTAGCATCAACGTATCGATGGTTGAGGGTAGTACAGCTATTGACCAATGTGCATTATGGCTTTTTTTTCTGAAGTTGGTTTTCGGATTCTAGCTTTTATTCCTTCCCGCCAATTCATCTCACTCAGTCTGAAGTGTTATCCTGTCACTATCGTAAGAAAAAACCCCATACTTTGACATGGAATAGCACTATATTTTCGAGAGGTATTAGTGTACTTTTGGCGGCCTCGGAAGCACACCTCAGTGGCATATGTTTAGTAGCATGTTGCGCTATCAAGTTTAGTACTGCTACTGTTGCTTTCGGAGTCATCTATCTTAGTTCAAACAGATAATGTAGTGCTAGTCTACTTACGTAAGTGGGGCACTAGCAGTGTGTTTAATGTAGGGAAACTTGAATGCTCCTTCTACATGTTCATATAACTGGCTCAATACTGGGTTACTACTGACTACTCTTAAATGTGCTCTGGTACAAGATACAGCTATACCTCTACGTGTTGACGCTGAGCATTTGCCTTTTTTTAAAAATTGAATCTGGTCTTCATTCACTAGTACGAGGATGAGTGACCTCCGGTATCGCTCCTCCACCGCTGGCGAATACTAACTGCATAGTTCTCGTTTTTGGATTCAGAAATTTCGACTCAGGTCAAATGTTTTAGGTGCAGACTACAGGGCGATTGGGGACGCAGCAGTCTATGTTGACTAGTCTGTCAGTACATACTGGACTGTTGGAAAGGCTTTGGATGAATTTTTGGGAACGTTTGCAAGTTTCCAAACTTTTTCGTTGGGAAGGGAGCTGCACTGAGGTCTGGTCACAGAAATAGGTTGTTTTGCCTTTAAGTTGTAGTGCCTCAAAATTCGGAGCTCTTGTAATACGTGTTACTAAACGTCTCACTGAATATGAAAGACACTTGGTGCATGATTGTGTTGGGTATCTCAGAACACTTCATTTACATATTGGTTGTAGAATGGGGAGTTATGATGATGGAACACCCACTTTACTTCACAATGAGGACTAAAACGTCTTAACAGAATCGGACATGTGAAAAGTCGGAAACCTATCGAGCTACTTCAGTAAAGTCTTTTCGGCATATAGCAACGGATGTTAAATATGGCTACTTTTGTGGTCCTACAAGTGGAAGCTTTTAGGTTTCGGTAGACGTTAACGTGCCAGAGTGATTTAGGTATTGCTGGCATAATATTAGACAAAGGGTCAGAGTGAATAGAATATTGTATGACTGGAGACCGGTTACTAGTGGGGTTCCCCCAGGACACTGTACTAAAGCTTCTGTTCCTGCTATATAGGAAGGAGTTACCAGGCATGTTTAAGTCACTATGCTTGCTATTTGCGGATGAAGTTTGTATTTGCAGGGACATATAGACTGTCCGTTCGGGGTTTTCGAGAGGTTAGAAATCAATGGTTGAAGACCCTTGGTGGGGGAAGATGCGTGACAATAGTACAGATGTATTTACTCTTCGACCTCTTTAAAAGTTTCGACATTTTCACTAACCTCGGTTTTCAAATTCATTTTCCTCCCACGTGTTTTGTCAAATCCGATATCACTCTGTAATCACTTGCTTTTTGTATGTTACTGCATAGTTTGCTGCTAAAACTGATGGAAGTCTCTGCCAGGTCTTACCTTCATCTTTGTCTCCCTTTCTGCAGTATTGCTTGCATCTGGTGTAAACAATATGCAAATAATACTGTAGGTTGATATTTTTGTGTTGAAAGTCATCGTAAAATTATTGAGATGGTTATAAAACAACTGAAAAGTTTCGAACATGCTGTACATTTGTCATCTCAGTTGTCAGTGTAGCAAACATCGATAACCCTACGACTGGCTGGAAGAAGCAACTGATTGTTTGCTTTCTTAATGCATTGTGAAGTAAATGATATGTGTTATTATTTGTTAGATTATATTCCCCTCATTTGGGCTTTGAGACTAGTCTTTCAGATCCTCTTCATTCTTATTATCATATTATTTTACCTTTTTACGCTCTTTGCACGTATTATTTAGATTGTATTTCACAGAAATATAATGATTTTCCTCTTGGCACTTTGTTATTGTTACTGTGGTACTTCATTTGTGTATGACTTATGTTTTAACTAATAAATGTGGTAGCAATGTATAAGAGTATGGTCTGTGGTAATTCATTGAGTTCAGTTACACTGTGACTTTGTTGTTTGGTATTAACTTAAGTTGGGAACGTTTCTATATGAGTGATATTTCATATACTGTCTCTATTGAGAATTCTCTGATTTATGGGTGCTATGAGTATATCATTGATTTTTACTTTGATGTTCTTCCCCAGTCCATATAGAACACATATTTCACTGAAATTTTGCTGTCACGCAACTTCTTGGCATACTTTGTGAATTAGCTCAGATTTTTTAATCACTAGTTTGAAATTCGACTTCGAATGTGATGGATTACGGGACATATACGGAAAACACGTATGATAGCGACTTTATTGATGAAGATATTGAGTCACGTTTATACAGTGCAGTTTTCTTTGAAACTTCAAACTACACACCCAAGCCATATGGTTTAGTATCAAAACAAACTCACCCTGATTTTAATGGTTCTTCATTTTCACATCAATCAAAACCTTGTAAAAGTCCTGTTGCAGAACATGTTAATGACAGTACCGATGATCCATTGAATTCATTAACAGCTTCTGTTCCTGACAAAACATTTCCGTTTGAGGATAATTGTGAAAAAAATGATGAAGGAAATTTAAGCTCATCATCAAGTTCTGGTTGTAGCATCCTTCTGTGCTGTGACGACTCTTCTCAAACTGTAATCAGTACTCAGGGTGTTGTTCTTGGTGTTTCTCATGATACACTACTACATGTTCGAAATGAGGATGGTTCTTCAGAAGTACTAAAACAGGTGGTATCCAACTCTGACTCTGGTTTATGGGAAATATGTAACGCTGATAGACATTCATCACAATCCGCTGGTGGTCGATATTTCAACAGTTCAGATAATCAATTGTGTTCAGAATGCGGAGGTAGAAGATGGAGAATGCATAAATGTCGTGTTGTAAGTTTCTCGCTCGTAAGCATGTTTAGTTTTACTACCTTTTTGTTTTAGAGCTGTACATATTTACCTGCTTTTAGATGCGGTGTAAAAGTAGGATTAAACTAGCTGAGTTTTGCTATCCATTTCGCCGTTTGTGAGAAATTTTTTGTAGTCGTAAAAGTAGGTACCTTTTTTTCACTGGAATTAGGAAAGTGACAATTAAGCGTATTGAACCAATTAACATAAGGGTTTGATGCTATATTTCTGGATTCACACACATCTTTAATTGCTAGCTTTTCAGGTAACTGGAATTTTGCGCAAAAGTGAATCAGCTTAAATTGCTACAGATCTCAGCACTATATATATATATATATATATATATATATATATATATATATATATATATATATATATATATATATATATATATATATATATATATATATATCGATCTTCAACCATGGGTTATTACCATTCTCAGGAAATTAACTGGACGGTGTACACTTCTATTCCATTCACACATCCAGTGGGTAACTTCATGGGTTGATCATGTCTAAAATCAGCACTACCCACTCAGTGCATCAATATGCGATCTGTTCCCAAGACTGACGGTAGGATACTTTGAAAAAACACACATTTCTTCAGTATGGAACTTGTAAATGCTATGGCTTCCATTGTTCTTATATTTCCATTGTGTACTGTTGATAATTATCAATTTCCACGTTGGGATTCATCGCGGACTGACGTCAGTTAGAAAATCATTTAAAACCTAGGAGTACTGTTTCTTCCCAAGATGGTGCTTCTGAGCAGTGCGCACCTATGTCCCTGCCATGGGTCCAACTCAGGACCTCCAGGCTCCGCGGCACTAGGTAAATAAGATCCCACAAATCTCCAAAATGAATTATCGATTTTGGTCTACAAAATTAACGTCTAAAATGACTATTTTACATTACTGTGTTCGTGGGAGGTATGCGTAGTCCTTCGTTTATAGGTAGTTCTTTATTCAGTACAACGGTTCCCATTTTAAATTATTCACAATTAATTTTAATGTTTGCGGTCTTGAAAACTGGAGTAATTCTGTGACTTATATTCATGCATTTATGTGGTGCAAATTAAAGGAAAATTATGTATTTACACTTAAAAAAAATCGTAAAAGGATTGGTTTCATTGGGTTCGTTCAAAAAACGTTGATTGCTTTCGTTATTCTTTTAGATGCAAATGACACGGCATCTGTGACACCATTGCTACTGGTTTGGTCTCCTAGCCATATCCGGTAAAAGCTCGTTATTGAACCACCTGACCTCTTGAGTCTAGTCCAGCTAGTTGCGATGCTAAAGAAACAACTATATCTCAGTGCACGACACTGTCGCGTTACACAAGAGCGAAATAGTCCCAGGGGCGCATGAAACTGAGCTTATTTTCGCAGGTGTGTTATTTTTCATATTGAGTAAGAATTAGTACTCATAAATGTCTTACTCAGTTAACTGTAACTCATGGTCTACATACCACAATAAAAATCCATTTCATTGGCTTATAAATTAGTTTTTGTTGATTGGCTATGTCCATCAAGTTTATTCCATGAATTGCTGGGAAAATTCCCGCTTAAAATGAAAGAGGTTCCAATACAACCGTTGTTCACTGTTCTCGTCACTTGAGTGCTAGATGTCAGTTAATTTGATCTAATCATTTCTGCTTGTTTGCGTGTGCAAGCATTCTTCATTTTCACCTCTCTTTAACAGACATATTTGACTGTATAGCACGTTAACTTGTATCTAGCTATAACCCTCCATTCAGCAATTTCTTATTGAGTTTTCTAATATATTCGTTAAAACTTCGTTTATCTTTTCTTTTTCTAATGGCATAGTGCTGCATATTTTGTGGTGAAGAGGGACACGAAAAAAGTGAATGTGATAAAATCTATTGTTATGCTTGTTTGGCACCTGGTCATACAAAAGATACTTGTCATTTGTTAACGGATCTTAAAAAATCTATTGCAAGCGATGTGGTCAGCAGGGACATAATTCAACGGTATGTTTTTTTGTTTCTTCTCTTAGTTGTTTCAGTATATCGAATTTTATTCCGATTAACAAGTGTGAGTGTGTGGTTTCTAGGACGAAAGCTCATTATTAACATTCTGCTTCACGAAATCGGTTTATTTTCACATGGTGAATCTCCATGTCATTGTTACTTTGAATGTCTTGTACCGATTGACATATTCTTACTGAGTTATGCAAAGAAAATTTCGACGGGTTTATTTTTGGTTATTGTACAGTTGCACTTAAGTGCCTATTGTTTGCAGTTACATTTGGTATCAAAATAAGGTCTGTGAATACCGTTCATAAAATACAGTTTTATCTTTGAAGTGTTCAAATTTGTTAAGTTGCTAATAAGCTTACTTCAAGTGTTACGTAATAGTACTTGTTGGGACCAAGAGCATGTGACTATGTAATCTAGTCAGCAAGTGATTACTACTAAAAACAATGAGAGATTCGTATAGGAGCTGTGTTTAACGGAATTAAGTACGTGACTTCTAACCAATTCATTCTGGTTTCATGTCTTGCTTCGGTCTGAGTGACTAGTTAGCATGATAAGCCCTGGAAAATTAGGCATGTATCCTCGTACATCAAACTACGCCTAATGGGTTAGTGGTATCATTGGGTTATCGTGCGAAAAAGATTTCCGTTTTCTTATCTGTATCAAGTTTTCACGAGTTGCTACAAGCTACTGTTAGTAGTAGAAAAACGTGGGCACAACTTTTTATCATAGGTGTCAGATAACAGCCTTGTAAATAACTGAATAAGAAGTTGATGTGGTGATTTCCAACCAATTAAGAAATTTTATGTGGTCATCTTACCTTATGTATTGCTGATCTAGGTTGTCTAAACACCGTTAATGGGATTGTATAGATATCAATTTATCGTTTGAACAAACAGAAACTTTGCAACTTTGTTTTACCCAGTGTCATTATGACTTCAAATAGGAATCTTCCGAACTCATGATTTGGTTCAAGGTACAATTCATTTTCCGTGATATGATTTTCACTTGAAAGTTTTATTTCAAGCTTTTTTCCTCTGAATTATTCATTAAACTGATAAGTATTTTACTATACTCCTCTGTATTATGGCTGCTCATGCCTGTTGCCATTTTTCTAGTGTCTGGTTGATTGAACTGAAGAATCTTATAGTTTTTCACTACTATTACTAAGAATGTACTGAAAATGCAGCTCGGTGAGGGTTTTCAAGCATCTGCCTTTAAAATATAATTTTATGTCAGGGGGTTGTGATGCATTTTTGGATAATTTACTCTTAAAGGATTCTGACAGGATTTTGAATACTTTGGAACTATAAAGAATTTCAGTACATTACGGATATCGAACAGCCATCTCCATTACTGCTAAATGATGTGTATACTAGCTAACGTGTTTTGGATGCAATTCGTTGTCCATAATCTTGTCAAGATGGTCAGATGTCCTGAGCTGTGAAGGGAGATGTTGACTGACTCTGGTGTCGTCAAGACTTGCTGATATAGTTCAAAATCAGTCACACTTGTACAGATGTATACACTCCTTTTCATCTTCGAAGCTTTGCATATTTTCATCAGCCTTCATATATCTCTCCTCATACATATACTTTGCAGACTTCTTTGCATGCTGCTGTAAAGTATGGCAACTTGAACTGATTCACTTTTGTGCCAGGTTCTGCGTTGAAACCTGTATATCTCTCTCAGTCTCTTGACCACATGACTTGAAACCCGTATAAGGTTATATAGAGATCAAAGTAAGTGAAAAGCTTTCGAATTTTTTCTTTCAGCCTAATCGCCTTAATGAGTACTGCTAGCTACTGCAGAATTTAAAGGTACATTTAATTGAAAAATACTCACCGATCTATTTTAGTCTGTTTTCATGGATCTGATTGATGTTAAAGCTGGTCGAATTTTTTTCTTTACAGCTGTGTACCGAATTATGGAGACAGTACAGAAACACTGTGAGTTTTATACCTGATACCTTTAACTATTCGTCGTAGTAATCTTATGTAACTAAATACACCACTATTGCTGAGAAAAAAATTTTAGGTTTTCTTAGTTAATTAGTTTCAATGTGACTTAAGTGCTCCATACAGATTCGTCCACTTGGTAGTTAGCTACACTTTTTGTGTGAGGGTTGCTGATATTAACTGGCTTCTCGAATTTGGGTAGATGAGTTTGGTGTCTAACCTGTACTCCACTGACTAATGTGGCTCTGGCGCAGATGTATCCCCACACTATTTTCATCTTAATCATAATGCTGAATTCAGTATTTTCTCCTTCCTCCTTCCTGTCTTCCACTGCTTTCGACCCGCTATTCTCTATTCGTCTATCATCTTACTGGTTTGCTACTTCGTGCACTAATGTGAGGTGTGACAACTTGGACGGTTACGCAGTAATAATTGATCCGATGTTGATATTGATGATGATTGTGAATAACGACTATTAACTGATGTTATTTCCTACTCTCACCAGCATAGATTGCTGTCAGCAGTTAATAAGCTAATAATAATAATAATAATAATAATAATAATAATAATAATAATAATAATAATAATAGTAATGGCTGTATTCTGAATGCTATTTCGAGAATACTCTATAGAATTCTCAGCATGTCATATAGCATCAGTTGCATAGAGACAGTGTATATGTATATGTAGCAAAATTAAATAAGCAGAAATGACATGAATAAAAGATAAGAATATTCTCTCTGTCTTTCTTCAAAACGCACAGTCAGTCACATTGGCATTTAAATTCATAGTACATAGAAGTAACACTCTCATCTTCAATTAGTTTGCTTTCAAAAACAGAAGTTGATTATGTAGTTCATTTCTAGTACTTTTTTCACTAGACAGCAGACGAGCTGAATACGGTATTGTAGAGTTTTTATATTTTGTAGTACGTGTATAGAAATTCACCCTTCGAGTTTCTGGAGATTCGATAGCTAGCTCTCGTGGTCTTGCAGGTGTAGGTATAGCATTAAGCACCAGGGCAGAAAACTCACTACTAGACTGGATCCCAGTTGATAGTCGCCTCTGCGCTATGAGGCTGAACGGCACAGTGAGAACTAAAAGGAATAGTGAGACTCGCCGTTGTCTCTTTGTAATCTCTGCTTACGCACCCACTGACTGTAGTTCGGATGAAGTGAAGGACGAGTTCTACCATAAACTGTCTAACCTCCTCTCGAAAGCCAAACGTTCGGACGTAGTGGTTGTTGCAGGTGACCTCAACGCACAGGTGGGTAGACTGAGTGAGGCAGAAAGGCACTTAGGTGGCACTTTCGGAATCCCAGCTGAACGTACAGATAACGGTGATCGCCTATTACAACTATGCTCAGATAACCGCCTATTTTTAGCCAGCACAAATTTCAGACATAAAGAAAGGCACTGTCTGACCTGGCGTCCACCGAGCTCGACTCAGCGATGGACACAGATAGACCACATTGCTATTAGTCATCGCTGGAGAGGATCGGTGGAAGACTGCCGCTCCTTCTGGAGTACGTGTTTGGACAGCGATCATGCGTTGGTCCGAGCACGTATATGCCTGCGTCTCAATGGACGTAGAAAAAATTTGGCAACAAAACCACTACGAGTTCTGCTGGACAACGAAAACACCAAAGCCGTGTTCAGTGAGAAGTTGGCTAGGCAGTTATCGGAACAAAAGACTGTCACTCATCCAGAAGAAGCTTGGTGCCATCTTCAGTCTACTGTAAAAGCAGCACTGGAGACTGTAGCCGACTCCAAGATAATGGCTAAAAAGAGCCAGTGGATATCAGCAGCTTCTTCCAAACTAATGGATGCACGTGAATGCATCCCTGCAGGCTCTGAGTACAATGAAGAGCGAGCGCAACTTAAAAATAAACTGACGAAAAGTCTGCGCAACGATCGTGAACAGTGGTGGGCAGCAAAGGCTAAAGAGATGGAAAAGGCAGCGGCGATCGGTAACAGTAGACAGTTATTTAGACTTATTAAGGAGACTGGGGGGAAATGGTCAACAACAGTTAGTGAGGTTATAGCGGAGAAGGACGGATCGGCGATTCACTCGCAGGGAAGGCGACTGGGACGATGGGCAGAACACTTTGAGGAACAGTTTAACTGGCCTCCAGCCACCATTGCGCTGCCCGCTATCCAGTCGGACCCTGAATGGGACATAGAGACAGGTCCCCCAACACTAGAAGAAGTTGAGAAAGCGGTAGGTAGCCTGAAACGAGGAAGGGCAGCAGGACCAGACGGACTACCTGCTGAGGTATACAAGAATGGTGGTAGAGTTCTCTTAGTCAGGCTAACGGAAGTGTTAGCCAGTATATGGGAATCAAATACGATCCCCTCCGACTGGTCTAAGTCACTCATTATCCCAGTCTTCAAGAAAGGCGAGAAGTCCTCTTGTGATAACCACAGAGGAATCAGCCTGACAAACATAGTGTCTAAGATCCTAAGTTCTATAATTCTCCGACGCCTGAGTGGAGCTCGGGAACAGCAAGCCCGAGAAAACCAGGCAGGCTTTAGACCTGGCCGTGGATGTATCGACCAAATATTCACACTGCGCCAGGTCCTGGAACATAGGCATGCTTACAGACGCCCGACAATAGCTGTATTTCTCGACCTGAAGGCGGCATTTGACTCCGTTGATCGAGAAGTCTTATGGCAGTGTCTGTCACTGAAAGGCGTGCCTAGTAAGTACATCACCTTATTGAAAGCTCTCTACTCGAACACTTGTGGGCATGTTAGAGCCTATGGTGAGTTGTCCAGGGAGCTATACTCATCAAGTGGTGTCCGTCAAGGATGCCCACTATCCCCATTCTTATTTAATTTTATCATAGATATTCTTATGGAGGTTTCCCTCTCGTCACCTAATTACAAAGACGTTGACCGGATCACAGGTGAATTTTCCTTAGATCTAGAATATGCAGATGACATAGTCCTGTTAGGTGAAGACGCTGACAAGATGCAGAGTCTTCTGAACACTTTGAGTGGGAATTTGAGAATGTTTGGGATGCGATTTTCACCACCCAAATGCAAATTTTTGCTCCAGGACTGGTCTTCAGCGGTACCGCGGTTAACAATAGAGAGTGAAGTGGTTGAGTGTGTTGACCACTTCACTTACCTGGGAAGTAGGATCAACCCGGTGGGTTAGTTGCCGATGAGATTTCTGCACGGATACAAAAGGCTCGATTGGCTTTTGCCAATTTGCGCCACCTATGGCGCCGCCGTGATATTCGTTTGTCTATTAAGGGTCGCGTGTACTGCACAGCAGTCCGCTCTGTTCTACTGTATGGCTGTGAAACATGGCCATTGAAAGTGGAAGACATGAGAAGGTTACAGGTATTTGACCACCGTTGCCTTCGTAGTATAGGACGTATTCCGTGGTGTCACCATGTGAGTAATGCAGAAGTTAGGTGTAGAGTTTTAGGGAGAAGAGGTAAGTCAGTCGACGAGGTTGTGAACCTTCATCGACTGAGATGGTTGGGACACGTACTACGTATGCCTAGTCACCGATTGCCTCGTCACACAATGTTGGCTGAGGTGGGTTCAGGCTGGAAAAAGGCCCGAGGTGGCCAGACTAAAACATGGCACCAATGTATGAAGTCTCTGACTGTTGGTTTAAGCCATGTAGGACGATGCAGACTAGGTGGTTGGGGTCCACGGGACAAGAGGAACCAGTGGTTGGAGACCCTAGGTGGCGCAGATGTATACACACATTATCCTCATCTTAACAACGCTATACCGAATCTCACTATTTTGTCACTCCTCTTTCCTTTCTTCTCGTACTTTATATTTCTTTTGACTGCATTCACTTATCTTCATCCTTCACCTCACTACCTTTTTACTTGATGTGCTGATATGAGGTGTGGCAACTCGGACCGTTACGCAGTAATGCCTGGTCCTATGTTGATAATGATGATGATGATGAGAGACTTATGCACTTGCTCCTCGTCTTTTCAGATAACCGACAGTTGGAGAGCTTCGAGTGAAGATGTTGGTTATCTGATAAAATAACTCATGCCAGATGTTTACATGAGTTAATATGTTTGTTCACAATAGTTTTAATTAGAAGGTTAAGGGGTACACCACTAGTTCTACTGACAATCTTTAAAGCTCTACTTAATATAGGATAGTCTTTTTTCAGTGACCGGGGAAAAATAAAGGGGAGCAATAAGGGAGGACAGACAAGATTCAGGAGTTTATAAAACATAAGAGAAGAATCTGAGTAATATCAGATACTCCTAGCTTCCTTATATAGAAAGTTAGGCGAAAAATTCTTTTTGAAATTAGTGAGATATGAGAAGACCAGGAAAGGTCCGAAGAAAAACACACCAAGATAAATCACACTAGTAACATTCTCTAATACACAGTTTACATAAGTTATGTTCACATCTAAAACTAAAGTTTATGGTCTGACATTTTTAAGAATTAAGCATAAGACCATTTACAGAGGACCATCGTCTAACAGTAGATAGGAAATCATTCAATTGGAAGCAATCTGCTGTGGTGGGGATGAATATGAAAACTGTTAGGTCATCAGCACATTTGATGAAATTTATACTAGCTGAAGATTGTAGGTCATGCAGAAAGAATGAGAAAGTACATGGGGAAAGGATGGCTCTTTAGGGAACTTCAGTCACAGTAAGCAATGAGGTGGAAGACTTCGCTCTGTGAACAGTCAGTTATTTCCTTTGAGAGAAATAGGAATGCAGCCAGCTGATTATCCAGGACTCAGTATTTGTCCCGGTCATCTTGTCCAGGAAAAGAGGTCTTGGGGCGGAATCAAATGCCGAATTATAGTCTAGAAAGACACAACTAATATACTTGGCATTTTTACCAAAGTGCTTCTTCTGCTTTTATATGCAGATTGATTTTGGGTCTCCGAAAGCCACATGTATTATAAGCTTCTCCATTTTTCTTCCAGACCGGAGGAGTAACTGCAATTGGACGGTATTTCCTACATGCACCTGGAGTCCTAG